ACATCATCATCATCAGCGACATTGTCATCGTGATCAAAATCACCACCATCGTCATCTTTGTTGTCATCGTCATCATCAACATCGTCATCATCCTGTCTCTTATACACATCTAGATGTGTATAAGAGACAGGTCGTAGACGACCGTTTTGTAGAATCTTCCCCAGATCCCATCCCGGAGGTCGCTGCAGTCTCCCCTTCGGCCCTGGACGAAGACATATTGTCTGCGGACGACAACGGAAAACAAATAAAACACCAGTGAGCGTCAAATCGCAGTCAAAGTACAACGCAGGCGAAAAACACAGGAGGCACACCTTGCCCTCAACACGTCGGTCACATGACGCCATCCGAGGACCTCGAAGTTCGGATCCCGGCGAACTTCAAACACGAAGACCAGCAATGACCTCTTACCTGCAACGAGATCATTCTTTACAAGGGCACATGCTTCATGCAGCCGGGCGACAACCACGTCCGAGTTTTCGAAACACAGATGTCAACCGGATCGGGAATGGACGGGAGGTGACGCACAAAGCTCGCGTTGGATGGGGCATTGTCCTCCGTTTAGCACTCGGATCCCGGACAGTTCAAGACGCGAAGTTCGCCGAGATCCGTACTAAAAGATGGGGCGCAAGAGAGAGAGAGAGAGCCAGCTCACGCAGCCAGCGTTCCAGAACCGTGCACGAGCGAACACACTACGGAACAGCATTTGATCGAAACCAGAAGTCGGAGACGGGTTCTCCACCCCGCCGGGCGGGTTGTGCGAACCCCAGGACGTGCCTGTCCAAAGACAAACCAACGCACCCTCCGAAACAAGAAGTTCGCCGGGATCCGAACTTTAGGACGATGCGACAGGCAGAGACGGTGTCAGAGACACACGGTCCGTGGACTAAACCACGACCCGGAAAGGCCGCACTAACACAAAAGGCCGATTGAGAAGGACAAGTTCGCCCAAATCCGAACTTCTTCTGATATGCGCAGCTTGGCATTGGATGAAGCCTAGTTCGAACGCAGCAGCCGCGACAACATTGCATGAGTCCCTGGAGGGGCAGTTGTGGATCAGGGTTGACTCGTGTCGCAATCCACGGGGGATCATCAAGACCAGTGCCCGTTCAATACACAGGCGTCACAGGAAGTTCGCCGCGATCCGAACCTCAGGAGGCTGAGAGAGAGACAGATAGAAAGTTGGGGTCCTAGCAAGGTGTCAACGGGATTTCCAACAAGAGGGCCCGCCAACCGGGATCTCCAACGGGTTTCAGGAAACGCGAAGCTCGCGCGACCTTGGGACGGGGATCTCTAAGAGTGCTTTTGGCATCTCGCAACGACAGTGACCGACTGTTTGGCATATGTTGATGGTGGACGGTCGAAAACCGATTATGGCTATGTTCTGTTTCCGCGCTGTCGGGTCTTTCCCGCGGCCCGCCCGACGCCAATGACAAGGAAGACAAATTAACGCAGAGGCCAGAACGCGAAGTTCGCCGAGATCCGAACTTCGTCGGGGCACGACATGGAAGGAGACGGCGTCAGAGACGGACGTCCAACATGACTTTCATCAGTCACTGAACCGAACGACGACCAGGGATTTGTACGACAAGTGCGCGGTGCAGCGTGTACCAGCAACCGCGGAGTCTCACACTTCTCTGCAATCCGACAAATCTGACATTTTAGGCAGCAGAACTGCATCTCGTCCCTCGCCGTTCTTTTCCCTCACACAGAAGGACTAAAGACCGGTTCGGATGCGGCGACATTTGGGGATCCCCCGGGACGACGTCGTGAACCGAAGCCATACAAAGCATTTAGTGACGATCCGTATACGCGGGTCTGCGGTTCGTCGACCGATGCACTCGGCGAAAAAACGGACATGTATTTCATCCTAACAAACACCCCCGGTCGTGCCAAGGAGTTTCCTATGCAGTCCCGTAGGTCAGCCACTTTCTCCTCAACCTCATGCCACAACGAGTAGTTTCGAACCTGACCTGCTATCACCAAATCTGGCCACCCATCCGCACGTTCAGGCCCACRCATCAGCACGAATTTGGACCCTTCAATCACGACCTCGTTGCGTGACACGAGCACATTTGCATCGACGAGTCCTGCTCTTGTTCGAAGCAGCGAYACACRGAACTCTGGCGAAATCAGATCCGGACACAGTCAACCGCACACAGCAGTACGACACAGCTCGTGGACAAATCCCGGGGCCACGGAGCGGGTACTGGTCCAGGAACGAGCAGCGASGAGCGCARTCCACCAACTCTTGTTTTCGCGAGCGCCCCCAAGTTCGTGGCGACGACCTGACGTTGTGGCACTCGAGGCGACTGAAATAGCGGCTAATGCAGCTTAGTGCTTTGCGCATATGGTTCAGGAACTTATGTCCGAGGACGGCATCAGGCAGTGGGATGAGGTCCCCGAACTCCAACATATTCGCGAACTTGTAATGGCTTGCCCAAGGGCAGTGACTCTCCATATTGTCCCAATTGCCCTCGCCCCAGTCGTCAAGATGCGCGTCCATGCACGGGACAACGGTCATCCATGGGTCCTCGTCAAAGTCCTCTACGGTCGCTCCGTGGATCGTTGTCACACCGTTGAAATGCTGCACGGATTTCGCACAAGGACGAAAAGGTTCTGCTAAGCGAATGTGCGTCTCGACACTCATGGCCTGTGGTGTCGAGAAGATGGACTCGAAGACCCGTGGTGTCGAGAAGGTCCCCTCCATCACGCAACCTGCACACCACGCGCACATGCCCGACGACACACACGGGCACGGATATACTCGTGAATGCGTCATGTCTCGCGATGTGCGACCCATGGTATTAGACGGAGCGTATGCCCCAAGATCCGATTTCGGGTGGCCGGTTTCGTCGGTGTTCACATCTACCGGCCCGCAGGCCAGCCGCAAATACGCCCCACGACATGTTCGCCTGCATCCGAACTTGGCGAGACTGCGCGGGAAAGACGAGGCTGTCTCCCAAACTCGACGTCCCAAACTGCCACGAAGTTCGRACCTGACTTCACTTTCGTACGAATAAAAAGTTGTGGCAATCCACCGATCGCCARAAAGTCCACAGTCAGAACCCGCACCACCYGAAAGGTGAAGTACGCCGGGGTCCGAACTTGACGGTTTTTCGACGAACCGTGCACGAGAAGTTCGGATCTCAGCGGACTTCGCATTTTATAGAATCCGAAGTCTGCCGGGATCTGAAATTGAYGATTGTCTGAGGAACCGTGCAYGGCAGGTTCRGATCCACGGCCCAGCAGGAACATCTCCTGCCACATGCATTGCGAAAGGAAGAGARCTCAAATTCGYCGGGATCCGAACTTGGYGAAATTGCGCGGGAGATGCACAGCAGGCGAACCCGACGATGGGACGAGGAACCTTGGCACGAGAAGYACGGATCCCGGYGGACTTCGCATTTTTGCGAAACAAAAGTTGTGGTAAACACCCATTCGCGAGAAAGGACACAGTCAGAACCCACACCATGCGCGACGCGAAGTTCGCCGGGGTCCGAACWTGCCACGCGAGGTCYGGATTCACGGGAGGGTTTGGGCGTGGGTTTGGCGTGGGTTTAGTGCGGGAAACCGGGCACGCGAGGTCCGGATCCACGRGAGGGCAGAGGGGAACCTGGTGTTCGCCGGGATCCGAACTTGGCGAGACCTCGTGGGAGAGAAACAACCGGCGGACTTCACATTTTTTCAAATACAAAGTTGTGCCAACCCCCGGGCGCTAGAAAACCCGCGTTCTGAACCCAAACAATGAGACAAGCGAAGTCGCCGGGGTATGAACTTGACGTCTGTGTGAGGAACCGTGCAGGAGAAGTCCGGATCCCGGCAGACTTCGCATTATCACGGATTCGAGGTTCGCCGACGTCCGGACTCGACGAGTGTGCAAGAGACAGTGCGAGCGAGGTTTGGATCCGCAGGCCAGAAGGGACCTGAAGTTGGCCGGGATCCGAACTTGGCGAAATTACGTGGGAGATACACACCTGTCTGCCAAACTCGCCGTCCTGCAATTTCTTGAAGTTCGGATCCCAACGGACTTCAAATTTTTCCACGTCCCAGGCTGTGGTTGCGGACCGGGGTTGCGAAGCGTATTCGAGCAGCTGCATGAAGTTCGCCGGGATCCAGACTTGGCGAAATTGCATGGGAGACATACACCTGTCTGCCAAACTCGCCGTCCAGCAATTTCTTGAAGTTCGGATCCCGGCGGACTTCAAATTTTTACACGTCCCAGGCTGTGGTTGCAGACCGGGGTTGCGAAGCGTGTTCGAACAACTGCATGAAGTTCGCCGGAATCCGAACTTGGCGAAATTGCGTGGGAGATACACACCTGTCTGCCAAACTCGCCGTCCAGCAATTTCTTAAAGTTCGGATCCCGGGGGACTTCATATTTTTCCACTTCCCTGGCTGTGGTTGCGTACCGGGGTTGAGAAGCGTGTTCGAACAGCTGCACAAGCTCGCCGGGATCCCAACTTCTTCCGGTGTTTGATTGCGCAATCAGTTCGGTTGGTATGGCCCAGGTTGTGCTGGCAGATTGGAACGGCCACGTTTCGATCACGAGAACAGTGCCGTCGACACATGGGGTGGTGGGTGCTCAATGTTCGCCTTTCAGTGACCGTCAAGTGTCGACGACCCTACGTCCTCCAAAGTTCGACGTCCGATGAGGCTCGACGCCCGCCGAGGTTTGATGTGGAACCAGGTTCCATGGCCAGTATGGTTCGATGTTATACGAGGTTCGATGTGCAACAAGATTGTGACGAAGTGCTTTTTATTCGTTCGCAGATCGGGATCGACGTTTTTCCGGTCGGTTGTGTGTTTCGTTTGCCGGTTTCGATCGTGCACATGATCATTTGCCTAGAGGATTCTCCGCGATCGTTCTCCACGATCAATGTGCACAGAACAGTCGATTGGTTATTAAATTTGCCAGGATCAACTGATTGATCGGCTGTTCGGTTGACGGTCGGTGTGGTGGTCGATCAACCAGTAGAGCAATCGCGAACAGAGAGGTCGACCAATTTATTGATCCTGGCAGATTTCTTGACCGATCAACTGTTCAGTCGAGGACTGTCAGGTGGATAAATAAACAGGTCGCTCGCCGGCGGGTTGATCTTCGGTGCAGCACACACGATCAATCATCCGATCGCAAGTAATCTTCTGTCGTTCCGCGATTGGTCGGTTGGATGCGTTGTCGCCTCATGCATTGGTTAATCATCCGTCGGGCAGATCAGCGGCGATGTTGTTGGGGAAGCAAACAGCATATATCACCCGATCGCGAGTGGTCGGCTTGTGTTTCGTGATGGGTCGGTTCATCACGTGTGTGGTGTACATATTGTCATGGATCTGATCGACCATCC